GCTTTTCGAATATATTTACGCGTTATCCGCTTCGCCGCGGGATATAATATGCGCCTGGCGTCGGATGAATGCGGATCGTATGCGGTGCCACCGGTATTGCCGGTGTCATAAAGTTGCATTAGCACGCTTTTCAGACATTCCCCGTACGCTAATTTAATCGATGACAAAGAAAACTATGCACGTGATGTGTATCTATAATTTCACAGATCTCTGATGTTCTCCATGTTCTATCAAATCATTGCATATTAAAGATAATCGATGCTATATATTTGCCAAATTGATGTTAAAAGAAAAATATGTTTACTATGTATACATTATATTTGTCAATTTAAGTATAGAATATAATAAAACTTAATATTTATTTTTTCTATCTTACCCTAATTTGTTTGAAGAAAAATATTATCTTGGAATTTATTTATTTTGAATTTTAAATCCTTAATTATAGAAGAAATTATTAATTATAGAAGAATTATAAAATCCTATTATAATTTATTATTAAATTTCATATGATAATTTCTGTCCTTTCGTTAATTCATTATTAATGTGATTTGATTATTTGTCTTAACGAGTGATTTAACAAAGGAATATTCTATGCAAATTATGATCTTTAATTACTATTATTTTTATGCATTTATTATAATTAAACATTATCGTATTTATGAAGAGGTTAACGAAACTTTTTTAAACTTTCTTTCACCGATAGCAGCGACCCTTTCGCGTCCACCCCGAATTCATTGCATCCCCTTACAAACGCCGGTAAGAGAGCTTTCTGCCACGCAGCAGTGAGTCGGTAAGGGATGAAATTCGGCGATTCGTCGCGGTCACATCGGAAAACTTGATTTATCGGAGAGCGCCAATTTATCGGAATTTATACGTTCAATTGCCGTGACCTTCGCCAGCCGCGGTTAATTTCTCACGCGGCTCCTGCAACGCCGCAAAAATATCGGGTGTCGGGGGAAACAAGAACGGTCAAAACATCAAGCGCTTGTGAAGCAAGCTCTTTCGTCTTTTTTCCTGTAACGGTCAACCTGTTATCGTTCTCGTTTCGGCGAAAACCGCACACCGATTAATCGTCCGAAAATCTTCGGACTGGCCGAATTCACGGCCGACGTGCGGTTTTTTCGCAGATTTGCCGGAAACCACGCGGCCAGCCGCAGCGTCGAGTCGTCGTCAAAATTTGTCTGGCTGGCGTCGCGTGCGATTATGAGATTCGACCGCGACGACGATAACAAGTATTATTCCAATTCAAAGGGAGGAAAAAAAGAAGGATAAAGAGTGCCGTAAGAGGATACGAAATAGCGGAAGGAAGTGCATCGGCTGGAGGAAATGGGTACGTTCGCTTCATCCGGCTTATTGCTCTCTCGTCGCTGGGAAAATGTTGTCATTCGTCGGCTCGTACTGCGTTGCGTTTCTCTGTTTGGCAGACAATCGCCGCTCTCTATCCGCAAGAATAAATCATATCGATTTACGGATGTCAGTTTGCGCGTTCGCACGTTCCCATAGTCGATTTCTCCTCGGTGACAATTCTTCGCGCGTCTGTCGCTGGTCGAGTGTCAACTAAATAAAATTAACACGATCTAGAAATTGTTTTCATCCGTTTTTTAATAATCTGTTCCATTTAATAATCTGGATAAGTCTTTTTCTAAAGTGATGGAGAAAAGTTTTGACGAGACATTGAGATATTTTATCGTCCTTTCTTTTATTATATCATATAATAAAAATTGTCAAATGTAAATTAATGTTTACTATAATTTTTTAAATCTTTCAGTAGTAAAAGTAAGTGATTGAATCTGCATTTTACGCTTCGTTCTGTTCATTGTAAAATATGTGTTATATAAGCAACAAATTAATTTTTAAATTCACATATTCAGAATAGTTTTAACAATAATTTTGTCTGTGTTAGCATTATTTTTGTGGAATATTGTAGAAAATGAGCGTTCGCTTTCTAACGAGAGCGACAACGATATAGATGGAATATTTTCAGAAATAAAAATGCACGCGTTTTCGCTATAGATGTAACTTACGCCACGATCGTTTTAATCGACCCATTTATAAAGATCATTTTACTTTCGAGCACGTTCGGCTGCCCGCATTTGTCGCGAGCTCGAAATTTTTTTTTCAAGTTTCGAGAGTGAGGCTGCGTGTAGCAAACGCCGGTCAATTTCCTCGATGTCGGCGCGGTCGACACCGAACTGCACTTCCCAGATCGGTCATCGCGCGAAGCGCCGCTCTATTTTTTGTATTTTTATTTAGCCTGAGGGCCACGTATGCGGGACGAGGAAAGGGCGCGGATCCCGTCGGGACTCGGGAATCATCGAAAAATCACGCGTCTCGCGGATGTGGGGACCCGGACCAAGCGTCATTGGTTCTCGATATTTCCGCAACATGACACGAGCATTGGAAGGACACAATCCTCGCGCCTGATTAAACAGCACGCTAATTCGGCAAACTCATACATCCTGAAGCGAGCGCATCGGTAAACTGACGTCGTACAAACAGGACACCCGTTGAATCCTACGAAAATATTGATTGACGGTGGAGTTTCGTGGGATATACCTAGGATTTCTTTGTACGCGTGACAAATATGCGTGGGTCCTCCTATTTGATGATGACTTCTCAAAATCGATACAAAAATAGCCTCGCGAAGATAAGAATATTTTTCTGGAATATTTAATAAGTGACTATTAAAAATTTACTTATAATCACAGGGCGATGTTGAAATTTGCATCACACATTTTATTAAGATTGTTTAAGTCAGGATTACATATGTGAAACATATATAGTTAATAATATAGTTTAATGAAATGACATGAAAACGTACTGAAGTATAATTTTGAAAGTTAATAAAATAATCTTTTATCAATAGTCTGTCTGAAAATAAAAATAATGTTTTATATAAAAATTAATTCGGCGCACAATTTGAATAACTACATAATAATATGCAATATATTATGCAGTATATAAATGTTTCTAATTTTATTAATAATATTATAAATATATAAATTCACATCGAATTATTTAAGCACTTAAAATCCAATTTGATTGTTCAAGGTATTTATTCCCCACTTATTATATTCATGTTTATGATCCTAGAAATTCTTTGTTTAATTTCTTATATATTTTCCTAAATTTGATACTACATTTTAAGATATTAATTTAATAATAAAATGTAAAAATCAATCCTCAATATATATATATATATGCGCGTCCACAATCCCTTCTTCTCATCGCATTTTATTGCACATTTGTGTATATAATATTATTAATATTTGTGCTACCACAATTTTCATTAGACGAGAAAAAATATATGTTTTATTTAGTGACGAATTTATTCTCAAATATTATACTGCGAGAAAAATGATCTTGTCAGTTTTGAATCAGGCGAATTTGAGAATTCTCTGTAAACAACTAAGCAAGTCAACGAATATCAGATTTTTAATTGATGTTGATATTAAATATCTCTCGATCACACGCAACCTTAATATACGGCAAACACGATACTTTTAACAAATTTTCTTTTTTGTCGTTATATTCTATTTGTCTACGTTCGTAACCGAATCACGCGCAGCCATCAATCGCATACGTGTCTCTTGACATTTAGATGTTTCAGGATATTCTATTTTTTTCACGATTATTAAAGTTCTAAATCGTTAATTAAGTATGACATTCATAATTGTTTTATATTCTTAATATTGTTCTTAACATTATGTAGTCGTTTTATATTCTTAACATTATATTACAATTTTTCGTATAATTATTCAGATTGTTTTTCTAGATTCAGTTCTTTATAAGAAATAACAAAAATAATTATTTTGTATTAAACTCATCCATTTTACATGAGAATAGAAGAAAACAGAATTTTTCTCAGAATAATATTTACTAAAATTTAGAATGTTATATTAATGTTTATTAGGATAACAATATAATAAAATAGACCATATTCAATTTTAATTTGTAAAATTGTTTTACTATAAAATTCATTTTAAATAAGTTTGTAATTTGTTAAGTGAGCTCTATAATTTATTAAAAATTTTATTCAAATTATTTATTTATATATCTGAAATTATTGTACTTAACAAATTAATTAACCTTTTAATTTTATTATTATATATAAATTACTGTGTAAATTTTTTATTATTTTATTATTATTAAATTTTATATATCTACACGATTGCTACAAATGCTGATATTACAAAAGTTTTATGTGCGTTCTTACACATAAACAAAAATTTTACAGTATTTATTTCGGTATCGAGATACGAGTACAGTAAAACAAAAACGTAAACAATACTCTCAAAAAAAAAGAAATAGAAAAAGAAAGAAAAATTTATTGAACGGATACAAGTGGAGATTATCAAATGAAGATATAATCGAAATCCATCGATAGGGCAATTAAATTATCGTGATAAAAATATTACGGTCGCGGTAGGATCGATTTAATCTTCGATGGCAGAACGGTGGTCCATGAGAATCAGCCCGCATGTTTCTGCGGCTTACGCGAGCCGAACTTTGATATTCCGACGTCCCAGGGGGAAAGTAGAGCCCGCTCGTTCTATCTTCAAAGTCCCCCTCATACGAATTCCCCATCCTCCTCCTTTCTCCAGCCGTTTGCTTCTCTCCCTTCGTCCCATGTCACGCGCGCATTCGTGTCGAGTAAGCCGCTTGGTCATCCATCGGCACTTTCGTGTGTGTTCGCACATAGAGCTCGTCGCTTCGCTTGCCACGTGTGTGTAGCTTCCGTCCACATACGTGAAAGAAGTATCTCATGTGTGCAACCACTTGCTAGTTGCGGACTTTCAATCAGACCTTTCGGCCAACATAGCCTTTGCATTGATTGTCTTCGTGAAGAAGAGTACCTTAATATATATGACATTGATAATAAGAAAACATATGACGATTTAAATAAGAAATGACTTGTAAGTGGATTGAGTCAAGTCAACTTATTATACTTTATTAGGATTACGCATCTGCATGCTAATATGAATAGGGGTAAAGTGCGTCTAAGGATTAGTGAGGAAGAAGCGAATGTCCGATGTATGAGTTCGTATGGTTTTTTGGGTTGGTATATCTCCGGGTATGTAACCCAGTATAATACCGACGTGCGGCGGTGGTGGCGGCGGTGGCCGTGGAGGCGGTGGTGGCGGCGGCGTCGTCGTCGACGGGTTCTTCCTGCTACCACTGCCGCCGCCGCC